GTACAATGCAGTGCTCGATCTTACATGCAACAGTGCACAAATTACACGATGACTTTATTATATAAATCAACACTCGTACTCATTGACTTTCGTAGTTTCCTACTGTTGTTCTAATTAAAGCCTGGTTCACATATGTCTGCGATGTGTCGGCGGGCTATTGTCTTAGCAGTTCAACCAAATAATTCACAAAAGAATGCATCAACAGCTGTAAACAATGACGTCGCAGGCATATCGCAGACATGTGAACCAGGCTTAACAGCAATATAGCTAGATTATAGATTAATTTGTAGCCCAGCCTCCATAGTCCATATAAATTGTAGCCCAGCCTCCATTTACACCAATAATGAAATTAGCTCATTCTGGTAACTAGCTCAATTTTGTTGCTTGCAGTGTATCGGATCTATGGGTCGTTCAGATCCCAGAATTACCTAATTATTAGAGAGGTTAAGATACACCGGTTTCGGTGTACGGGTACGGGTAGCATGATTTTGGTTAGCAATATTTTCGTCGATGTCTGTACCTTTACTCGTAATTAAGGGGCACAGTTTCCCCATTATATCATTGTCTTGTTGCAAGAAAACAGAAAAAGTATGATTGAATTACAGACATCAGTAACAACTAGTAAACAAGATGACACTACTCGTACACGTACACCGAAACCGGGGTATCTTAAACTCACTATTGTAAAGTCTGCATAAAGCAGAAAAGGCTCTGTTCTTGTCAATGACCGGTGCCTATTGAGTGACCAAATATTGTCAGCCTAATCCACTTATTTGATTGCTAATTCATGTTGCATTACTTTCATTGCAAAGCACCTGGATTACATGATTTGCCCGTAAAATAGCAGCAATTGATAAACTTGAGTATGGACTGAATGTATCAAGCAGAATTCATGTTGGCGATTTTAAGCGATCTTAGGCGATTTTAGGCGATTTAGGAGAAATTGGACAATTTTAACCCGCGATTTAGTCCGATTTTAGGCGATTTAGGGCGATTTAAGGCGATTTACCGCCCCAGAGTAGGCCTGGATATCATGTTTAGTGATGTAGGATGTTAATCGTTTAAACATTATTTTTTCTAGTATTTTTCCAAAACTTGGTAAGACTGAGATAGGTCTATAATTCGTAAATTTGGTTTTGTCACCAGTCTTATAAATGGGTGTAACTAGCGACATTTTTAACTCACGAGGTATAATACCACATGTGAAGGATAGATTGAAAACATGGCACAGTGGTATTGAAATAATATGGGAAATGTGTTTAATAAGTTTGGAACTTATTCCATCGATTCCGCAGCTGCTTTTAGATTTCATAGAGGCAATTATTTCTTCAATTTCTTTGTTTGAAGTGCTTTTTAGAAACATAGATTTTTGATAGTCACCTTGTGGGTGCTTGGTGAAATTGTTAGAATTCTAATCGAACTTCTTAGCTAAATTTGGTCCTACATTAACAAAAAATTCATTAAATCTATTCGCAATTGTGTTTGGATTGTTTATTTCCCTGCCATCTTCTAGAGAAAACCTAGAAGGTAGCTGTTTTCTCTCTCTTTTTTGCAAATTAATTCATTCAATAACCCTCCACAGCTATCTATAACACTCCACTGTTATCCATAACACTCCATAGCTATCTATAACACCCCACTGGTATCCATAACACTCCATAGCTATCCATAACACTCCACTGGTATCCACAACATTCCATAGCTATCTACAACACTACACTGGTATCAATAACACTCCATAGCTATCTATAACACTCCACTGGTATCCATAACACTCCATAGCTATCTATAACACTCCACTGGTATCCACAACACTCCATTGGTATCTATAACACTCCACTGGTATCCATAACAGTCAATAGCTATCTATAAGATTCCACTGGTATCCATAACACTCCATAGCTATATATAACACTCCACTGGTATCAATAACACTCCATAGCTATCTATAACACCCCACTGGTATCCATAACACTCCATAGCTATCCATAACACTCCACTGGTATCCATAACATTCCATAGCTATCTACAACACTACACTGGTATCAATAACACTCCATAGCTATCTATAACACTCCACTGGTATCCATAACACTCCATAGCTATCTATAACACTCCACTGGTATCCATAACACTCCATTGGTATCTATAACACTCCACTGGTATCCATAACAGTCAATAGTTATCTATAAGATTCCACTGGTATCCATAACACTCCATAGCTATATATAACACTCCACTGGTATCAATAACACTCCACAGTTATCTATAACACTCCACTGTTATCCATAACACTCCATAGCTATCTATAAGACCACACTGGTATCCACAACACTCCATAGCTATCTATAACACTCCACTGGTATCCATAACACTCCATAGCTATCTATAATACTCCACTGGTATCAATAACACTCCATCAGGGGCGGCCGAACAGGGGGGGTAGGGGGCTAAAGCTCCCCCAGAAGTAAAAGTGGGGGGGCTTAGCTCCCCCAGAAAATTTAGTTTTTTCTGGAAAACTTTGAGAATTAAGGAAAAATGTAGGTTATTTTTTTGAAAATTTAGATCCAAGGCGAAAAATTTGCCGTATTTTTTTTAAAAATTGTGTATTTTCGGAAAACGTTTTTGTTATATGTCGGAAAAAAATTTTTTCATCCCTTTTTTTTGTATATGTCCGGAAAAATTTTTGTACCCCTAAAATAGTACACTGCCAGAAATATTTTTGACGACGGGTGGGGAGGGGGGGAGGTCACGGGAAAAAAATTTAGCCCCCACAGAATCAAATCTGTTAGGCCGCCGTTGCACTCCATGGCTATCTATAACACTCCACAGTATCCAATAACACTCCATAGCTATCTATAACACTCCACTGGTATCTATAACACTCCACGGCTATCTATAACACTCCACTGGTATCAATAACACTCCATAGCTATCTATAACACTCCACTGGTATCCATAACACTCCATAGGTATCTATAACACTACACTGGTATACATAACACTCCATAGCTATCTATAACCCTCCATTGGTATCAATAACACTCTATAGCAATTTATAACACTCCACTGGTATCCATAACACTCCATAGGTATCTATAACACTCAACTGGTATCCATAACGCTCCATAGCTATCTATAACACGACACTGGTATCCATAACACTCCATAGCATAGCTATCTATGACACTCCACTGGTATCCATAACACTCCATAGCTATCTACAACACCCCACTGGAATCCAAAACACTCCATAGCTATCTACAACACTCCACTGGTATCCATAACTCTCCATAGCTATCTATCACACTCCACTGGTATACATAACACTCCATAGCTATCTATAACACTCCACTGGTATCCATAAAACTCCATAGCTATCTATAACACTCCATTGGTATCCATAACACTCCATAGCTATCTATAACACTCCACTTGTATCCATAACGCTCCATAGCTATCTATAACACTCCACTGGTATCCATTACACTCCATAGCAATCTATAACTCTCCACTGGTATCCATAACACTCCATAGCTATCTATCACACTCCACTGGTATACATAACACTCCATAGCTATCTATAACACTCCACTGGTATCTATAACACTCCATAGCTATCTATAACACTCCACTGGTATCAATAACACTCCATAGCTATCTATAACACTCCACTGGTATCCATAAAACTCCATAGCTATCTATAACACTCCATTGGTATCCATAACACTCCATAGCTATCTATAACACTCCACTTGTATCCATAACGCTCCATAGCTATCTATAACACTCCACTGGTATCCATTACACTCCATAGCAATCTATAACTCTCCACTGGTATCCATAACACTCCATTGCTATCTATAAGACTCCATAGGTACCAATAACACTCCATAACTATCTATAGCACTCCACTGGTATCTATAACGCTCCATAGCTATCTACAACACCCCACTGGAATCCATAACACTCCATAGCTATCTATAACACTCCACTGGTATCCACAACACTCCATAGCTATCTATCACACTCCAGAGGTATCTACAACACCCCAATGGTATCCATAACACTTCACAGGTACCCATAACATTCCATAGCTATCTGTAAAAATCCATAGGTATCTACAACACACCAATGGTATCCATAACACTCCATAGCTATCTATAACACTCCATATGTACCCATGACACTCCATAGCTATCCATAACTCTCCACTGTTATCTATAACACTCCATAGCAATCTTTAACACACCACTGGTATCCATAGCACTCGATAACTATCTTTAATACTCCATTGATATCTACAACACTCCAATGGTATCCATAATACTCTATAGCTACCTATAACACTCCACAGGTACCCATAACACTCCATAGGTATCTATAACACTCCACAGGTAAAGACAACACTCCAATGGTATCCATAACACTCCATAGGTATCTATAACACTCCACTGGTATCCATAACACGCAAAGCTCTCTATAACACTCCACTGGTATCCATAACACTCCACAAGTATCTATAACACTCCACTGGTATCCATAACACTCCATAGCTATCTATAACACTCCAGAGGTATCTACAACCCTCCAATGGTATCCATAGCACTGCATAGGTATCTATAACACTCCACTGGTATTCATAGCACTCCATAGCTATCTATAACACTCCACTGGTATCCATTACACTCCATAGCTATCTATAACACTCCAATGGTATCCATAACACTCCACAGGTATCTATAGCACTCCACTGGTATCCATAACACTCCATAGCTATCTATAACGCTCCACTGGTATCTGTAACGCTCCATAGCTATCTATAACTCTCCAGAGGTATCTATAACGCTCCATAGCTGTCTATTAGACTCCATAAGTGTATATAACGCTTCATAGCTATCTATAGCACTCCATTGGCATATATAACAATCCATAGGTATCTATAACACTCCATAAGTATCTGTAACACTCCATAGCTATCTGTAACACTCCATAGGTATCTACAACACTCCAATGGTATCCATAACACTCCATAGCGATCTATGACACTCCACTAGCATCCATAACACTCCATAACTGTCTATAATACTCCACTGGAATCCATAACACTTCATAGCTACATGTAACATTCCACAGGTATCCATAACACTCCATAGGTATCTATAACAGTCCACTGGTATCCATAACACTCCATAGCTATCTATAACACGCCACTGGTGTCCATATCACACCATAGCGATCTAAACTACTTCACTGGCATCCATAACACTCCATACGTAATACTCCAGAGGTATCTATAACGCTCCATAGGTATCTATGACACTCCAGAGGTATCTGTAACGTTCCATAGGTATCTACAACACTCCATAGGCATGTATAACACTCCATAGCTATCTATAACACTCCACTGGTATCCATAACACTCCACAGCTATCTATAACGCTCCTGTTAGGGCTACAGTATTTGCTTCCCATTTAGACAAATAAAAAGGGTGAGGCAATTCTTTTATGCGATATATTCTTAATACAGTACGTACGATTCACTATACAAAGTATACAAATACAAGTAAATTATTAGCAATAAAAGTAGACAAATACAGAACAAAACAAAAGTACACTTACAAGAAAATATGCCTCAATAACCAAATTGATCTTGATCTTCAACAAATAAACTTGATTCATGACTACTAACTTAAAACAACTAACTAAACTAATATAATAAATAACACATTTTTATAGTATATTATAAAATCTAGTGTTGCACTTCATGTAACCACAGACTTTACACTCCCCTCCAAAGACTCTCGTAGGGAGACTTTTACTTAAAGTCCTTAAACTGTCCTAGAAATGTACTTAGATTTCATGCGATTGATTGTTCTCGAAGTAAACTTACAACTTGTTCTTCTAACATACATAACTTTCGAATGTCACGTTGATATGTTCCTGCGGCTGTTCGTACTGAAACTCTTCGAACTACACCATCTTCGTCGTGATAAACTTCTTGTATCAAACCTTTCGGCCATTTACCGCGTATTGTGTCTTTACTAGTGACAAGAACAAGATCTCCAACTCGGGAATTGGGTCTGCTTTTCAACCACTTCTGACTTTCTTGGAGTTGGGACAAATACGCTTTAATCCAACGGTTATAGAATTGATTAGCAAGATGATGAACTTGTTTCCATCTTGCTTGATATCGATCGAGATTTCTCTCATCCTCTGGAGAAACGCAAGAATTTCTTCGCATTAGTAAGATATCATTTGGAGTTAGTGCCTTCAAATCTTCTGCTTCACTTGGAACGCCTGTTCTTCTCCACTTCAGTTATAAATGTTGTCAGGGTTTCCTCGTTCACTAACTGCTCTCCGATCATTGCATGTAATATTCGTCGTATAGAGCGAATTAGACGTTCCCATACGCCACCATAATGGCTAGCGGCTGGTGGATTGAACTTCCACTCAATTTCCTTCTCTTGTAGATTGTATCTTATTTGCTCTTGATTCCAAATTTTCATCGCCTTTAAAATATCTAATTCAGCCCCTCGGAAGTTCGTTCCATTGTCGCTGTAAATGACCGACGGTGGTCCCTTCTTGCTACAAAACGTAACACTTGCGTTGATAAAACTCTCCGTAGACAGATCATTTGCAATTTCAATATGGACAGCTCTGTATCGAAGGCAGGTAAAAATACATCCATAACGCTTGTTCAAACTTGAAGTTGCTTTCGCTGATCTGGTTGATTTCCCACGTGTGACATGAAATGGGCCAAAATAATCGACACCGACGGCGGAAAAGGGAAAGGCAACCCGATCGCTATCCTCCGATACTCTTACAGGTGGAAGAGGAGCCATAATCTGTTCACCATATCTTGCACTCTGTCGCTTGCATTCGTGACAATTGCGTAGGACTCTTCTGACTGATGCAACGCCCTTCAAGATCCAAAACTTTTGCCTAGTCTCAGCGAGAGTTTGATGAGTTCCAACGTGCCCATATAGGATATGATAATGGAGTATAATCTTTTGGGTAACGTGGTGTTCACCAGGCATGATCATCGGATGTTTAGCGTCGAATACCAAATCTGAGTGTTTTAATCTTCCTCCAACTCGTAAAATGCGATCCTGGACGAACGGTTTCAACTTCGAGAGCCTATTTCCTTTCTTAGATCCCGAAGAGGACTCGATATCAAAGATTTCCTCTGAGAAAGCATGTCTTTGGACATGTTTCACGATCATCTCCTTCGCTCCTGTCTGAGCCGAGAGTGTTACGTGATTCGGATATTCCGTTTCAGTTGATCCAGACTCGCGTTTTCTCCCGAGCGATCTAAATTTGTTACAAATTGTAAGTAACCAAGCAACTATTCGAAACATTCTTCTCCAGGTAGAATATCGTTTTAATAAGGATA